ATTAAAAGAAAAGTGACAAAAGCATGCGGATGTGTGAATATTTGAAGAGACAAAAGCAAAAAAATGATCGCAGAAGTCACAGTTAGGCGCGAGTGTGTTTCAAGAGCGTGACCCGGAAGTGAGAGGCCTCTTTGCCAGATAATATGCCAAAAAGCATATTTGTTTTCCCTGCTGTGATATAAAAGATTCAGCGCACCACAAGATGATAAGGGACCAGGTGTAAGTATATTGTGAAAACGAATAGACAAATGGAAATCTAATTTAGGCCACTAGAGATGAGGTGAAGGACAACTGTCCTCCACGTCAGTCTGTCATCTCCCTGGCAGAAGGGGGGACACCGATATTTAAAAAGAGATTTCTTTAACAGTCCTAACAGTGTTTCGTCTACTATACTCGGTGTAAAAGAAGAAAAAAATGTCTCCTTCCTGCCGTCTCGTGTCAGTCCTCCAGACAGCCGCGGGTCTCAGGGTTCACGCGCAGCCCCCCCTCCCCGAGACAATTGAGTGCGGAACAAAAGCGCGAGACAGCGAACCATTTTGCTCTGCTTGTCGCCTCGCGCCGCAACACCCGCGACCCTGACCTCCGGCTCGCGCCCGTAACATCCAAAACATAAATACCGATGTTTCCACGTGGTGGTGGTGGCGGCGGCGGAGGGGGAAACGAAAAAAGGAGCTCGAGCTCTGACCTTCAGGCGGAGAAATAGCCACCTAAATCTATTAGCCTTTCTACTGTTGTAAGGGATGCTACAACTTACAGCAGGAGGGGATGCAGCCGATGGGAGGGGGTTTGAATCAAACTGTATGATATGGCTGTAATCTAGCAAACAGCCATATTTATTAGCCTATTATAACCTCCTGTTGATTGCTGAAGTTATATTGGTATGTGGCCATTTTTTTTTAGAGTTAAAGCTGCAGCCCCAACTAACTCGCTCTCTTGGAACAGATCTTGAATCTTTGCCAATCTTGTCTCATCCTTATTTTTTTTAAAATAATAAATAAATAAATTACAGGCCTAAAAGTTCAACCTGTATTGCGTGGCCATGGCGGCGTTTCATAAACGCGCAAACTCGCAGGAGAGACTGTATACAATTATTTGCTATTGAGCTATTAGAAGAAACCTATCATTATGGTCTGCAAGTTCGAATTTTGCTGATGTGTTGCCAAGCTATAATGAAGGACCGGAAGAGGAAGACATTCAAAATAAATATGTTTTTATTATAAAGTTGAGACAATTAAAGAGACCAACAATTAATAAAAGCCTATTTTAATTGCACTTTACCTGATAATTAGTGATATCAATGTGAATAATATAAGTTATTAGCAGCCCCAAATTTAGAAATATAACATTTTTATTTTAATTATGTAAAATTGATATTACTCTATTATTAATATTATCATTGTTGTCATTATTTTTATACTAATAATTTTATTATTATTACCATTTAAAATAATGTCATTAATAATGTTATATTTAAAAAAAGATGTCACATTGTATGAATTTTGTAAGTGTATCTAACAAAACATTAATTTATACATTACTTTTGAGAGGTAATAGGTCGAGTGTATTGAATGCGTGACCCCTATATCGATGTCTTTATAATAATTATAATATTCTATGTTACTTTATGTCTTCAATCGTTTTTCCAGCCTCCTTTCAGTCGCCTCCCGCAGCCCCGGGGAGGTGTCGCTCCACACTTTGCCTTCTCATTCTCTCCCTCAAAGAATTCGCCATAGTTTAGATATTTATCATCACTTGTTTGTTTTTCAGCCCCGTGCTAATTAATGTAATGAATATGAGCTGGGGGGGGGGGGGGGGGGGGGGGGGGGGGGTTGTATCGGTGACCCGCGCTCTGACCGAGCGGAACCGGAAAGAATCGCATTAAAGCGCGAGACAGGCGAGAACTGAAGGGACGATTAGAACAATAAGTAAACACGTAAACACTGGGGGGGGCTCAGTGTCTCTGGGACTTTTGTGGCCTCCACCACACCGTTTACATCACGGTGTAAAACTGCAGGGAGAGACAGTTGAAAAGGCCTGACTTCACTGTGGTGTAGAAGAGAGACAATGGTTTCAGTGTGTTAATGAATAATTACATCTGTTTGTTTTTTATGAGCTCTTGAAGAAATATTCAGAGCCTTCTTTTAAGCAAAAGTACGTGTAGATAAACACAAGTAAAAGTCATGCCTTCAAAAATCTTACTTTAAGTATCATCTGCACACTGTTAAATTATAAAAAAATAAAAGTTCTTCTTGTAGAATTGCCCCTTTTCATCATGTTGTGTTGCATTAAATATATTCTATTATTATACACAATATATTGTATTATTATTACTGGTGCATTAAGATGTTTTTTTTTAGTTACAAACTCATATGTTTTGTATGCAAAACAATTTGTGCAAAAGGAACTATAACTTTCAGATAAATGGAGTAAAAAGTTCAATATTTACCTCTGAATTGTGCTAGCAGAAAATCTGGACACCCAGGTAAAAGTAGAAGTACTACAAATCTGTTGTGCTCTGCTGCTCATATACTTATTGTAACTGATAGAGTGTCTATTCTCAATCTCATTTGTAAATGTTAATTATACGATTTTACTTCAACGCCAACCCCATTTATATATTTGGTAGCACTTTTCAAAGGAAAAGCTTGGTTTTGGATATTAATTCATTATATCTCATTATATAAATCAGCTTGGCTTACAAGGGAGTACTATTTGCTATTGCCAAATTGGAACATTGAAACAATTTACCCACCAATATTTAATTTTCAAATCTCACAAGACTCACCAATAACCCCACTCCTTTGATTTTCCTTTTTTATTGTCATTTATCTCTGGATAATTCTGTTTATGAGGTTCTTGCGTTCATCGCCATCGGGTCTCCTTCACATTCTGTGCTATAAATGCTTTTATTGTGAAGCACTTTGTACATTTGGGAGTAAACCTTCACTTCCTAACCTGTTTACTTACCCAACTCCACATTTTAATGTTCCTAACACTTTGGCTCATATTTCAGTACACTAAAACAGAAAAACCTGCACTAATACACTTTGATGGCAACTTGTGTGTGTGTGTGTATGTCTGTGTGTGTGTGTGCATGTACCAGGGCCGCAGTGCTGATTGAGCTTACCTCTATATCCCTGGGATTTAATTCAGAGTGGCACTTCACTGAGGTGACACAAGGCTCCTGCTCTCACAGTCACCGGCGCCCGGGTGTTCCTGTGACTACAGAGGCTGGGAGGGGGCTTAAGGGCCGCAGGGCGGATTGAGAAATGGGATGCATTATTTGTCCATGAAACATTATGTGACACAACATGACACCGGGGCCATTTGTATGTAAAAGGTAAACATTTCAGCGTGACGATTGGACAAGAGGGGACAAGGCTCCTGTCAATGTGTTTTTTTATACTCATGGCTGAGAGAGAGAGAGAGAGAGAGAGAGAGAGAGAGAGAGAGAGAGAGAG